TACAACAGCTGCACCACTTTTGAAACCTTTCCAGCAAGTAGTTAAAGGGGAACGCCATTTTTTTTACATTGGCCCCTTGATTTTACGTTATTACATCATGTTCTACTCTCCCATATGAGTGTTGTGTCATTTGCATCTGTTCTGAAGATATTTGGTTAGTTATATCCAATTAAGGTCTTCCTATGGGCATCGACTTGAAGGCACAAACTAAACTTTTCATAATTTATCATTTATGGTACGCCAGCATTCATAACATGTAGGCGAATCACTGTCCCCGAGACATCCGTGGTTATATTTTTTTATATTTATATTTTTTCAAACAAAATACATTAAAGTTTAATGTATTTACATTAAATACATGGTCTGGTAGCCTGGGTTTTCTTTTTGTTGGTGATTCACAGCTAAAAAGGACTTCCATCATGAACTTTTTTGTCTCTACATGGCTCTGTACATAGCTCTGCTCTGACTCCATTATTCTATTTTGGGTTTCAGAACCACATCCAGCTGCCTCTTTTCCTGCATCACAAACACTTCATCACTTCCTCCTCCCGTAGATGTGACCCTGACTTGGGAGCTGACATGGTCAGCTGGACAGATGAGACATGGAGTCTGTTTGCAGCAGGAAATCTGCCCTGGACATCATGGCTCAGCACACTGACAGCTGGTGCATCCGTGTTCCGTGTGTTTAGCTATGAATGTGTGCTAGTGCGTGTTTTGTCCGCCGATTCGTCTCTGAAGAAGCAGCTGCACCCAAATATGAGTTCAAAACCTCGTGTGTTTCTTTCAAGTAGTTTGCAACACATTTTGCAAGTCGTCCTGCATCAAATCCGACATATTGCATTGAATTCATCATTTTCTTTGACTGGCTGATTAAGCAGGGGAAAGATTGCTTCTAGTGTTTGCTGTCTGTGCATATGCAGTGACCTGTCAGTGACCTTTCATGCTTTTGACACTTAATGTGAGCCTTAACCAATCCCACTCAGAGGAATCTAATGTGCAGCCTATAGAGCTATAATGTGCCTATTTGATGTGTGCATTGACCTGCAAGAAGCCTGCTAAGTGGCTTATACTCCCGGCGTGTGTTTGTGTGCAGACTGACTTTGAAGCATGTTGTGCCGTGACAATAATCTAAGCCAATTTAGTCACCATCAGCCCTTCATTATGAGTTTGACATAAAGTAGCGCGTGACTGGAATGCCCTCCCATAAAATGATAATTTACATCTCCAAAGAAATTACGCATTTAACCTCATTAACCTAAAGAACACGCAATAAAACAGAAGGCTCACCCCCCCAACCTCCTTTGAAGCGCAGCGGCGTGCGCCCACACACAAATGCAAACTGGAAACATCATCAAAAGTTGGGAGTTCACACTGATTATGACCTCTGCAAATGACAAGCAGCCATTTTTGCAACTTGTAAGACTTTTTTGGGGGATTTTTTTTATCTCACTGCTTCAATATCATCTGTCATTCAAAAGATGATTAACCTGGCAGGTGTTCGGCAGGTCCCACCCACAGTCTTAGCGAGCTGTCCTCTTTAGCCTGCTGGGAGTATGGAGGGGTTTCAGCTTAGCCAGCTAATGGTTGCAGCCACAAAGCTGGAAATGGCCACATTAGAAGAAGTCGCCATCATTAGGCCCAACACAATTTCAAACAACCTGACCTATTGCTCCTTCGCTGTTTATTAGCAAAGTTTTGGTTGCTCTAGAGCAATTATAGTCAGTATTCATGATGAACTGTGGTCTTGTTTTCCCCGACACCATGAGACAGGAGACACGCTTGTGTACAGAGTAAATAATGTCAGGCGGTTCTGTTGTAGTGTGCGGAGAGCTGCCATGTTTTCCTTCTCGAATGTGTGCGATGAGGAAAATGTGCCGGGGAGGAAAAAAAAAAACAGGGGAAAATGGCAACGTGTCAGCAAGTGATGTATATCGTTCATTGGACACAGAACATTTAGTTTTCATTAAGAGTTAAACACGTACACGAAACATTAATGGGGTTCAGCGACAGCAGCGCCTGCGTGCCTTCTCTGTATCTCATCCTGATGAATTAGCAACTCAGCACAAGGGTGAGGCTAAGGAAAAAAAAAACATGCAAGGAATAAAAGGAGACGTGTAGAGAGGGAAGCAACTGTCAGATAACATCTTTATCTAAAGATTGGTATTTATAACACAACTTCATATAAATCCTCAACTGGAGCTTCAACGTGCTGTGAGGATGAACAAAGGGCTGGGCGGGAGGAGGGAGGATGGGAGGGGAGCGGAGAGAAAGGTCAGGATGAGTGCTGCCGTTTCATTATGAGAGATGCGGACTCCTTTTCCCTCTCCTGCTGCACGGGAAGTGATGGAGAAGGTTGTTAATGTCTGGCCTGTCAGCCATATTGGATTCAGGGCAGTAAATTAATATTACGCTCCTTTTAAAGGGGTTTTATTTTGGGATTTACTGATCTCCCCTGAGTGTCGGCAGAGTAAAGAGGTTATTTCCCTTCTCTCTGCTCTGTTCTGTGTCCGCTTGCTATCTCTCTCGCAGGGCTAATATGTTTAGAGAAAGAGAAACCATGTTCATAGAGGAAGGATCTGTGCGCTGTAGGCAGTTTTGTGTCATCCTGCGTTTGTTTTAAACGTTTTTTAAGAAGCACAGAAGTCTGCGGTAGGCGGTGGTGTTTAAGCCAAGCAATGACAGCTTCTTATGTGCTGAAATGACTTCCAAAGCATTGCGAACATATTTATACGTATGTGGGGAAAAAAGAGGGACGAACAAATAAATACTGGGAAATAAAACCATTGAACGTGTCAGCTGTGATTTCTGTTTAGGAAAAAAATAAACTGAAACTGAGTAAGAAAGCTTAGAAAGCAAATTATATGCATTTATATGCATCTATAAATGAAATTATGTAAAAAAAAATAATAACTTGAAAAAGGGATAAGATTTAAAAGAAATAAAGCAAAGGAGGTGATAAATGCATTTAAAAAAAACATTAAAACTATTAAGAAAGCACCTGATGCTATGTAATATTAGCAGTTTTATATTTAACTGAATGACTTTGAAAGGTTTTATTAACAAAGCATTATACAAAGTGGTTTGAAAACAGACTTTACCCCCCAGAAAATTAGGAAAACTTTTAGATTTTCCCTTTATCATCAGTTCTTCCTGGAATAGTTGCAAAAAGAAACTAATTATTGACAGTTGAATGCTTTAAAGCGTCCTACATGGGTCCTACATTTTTCAACAAATCATCCTAAACAGCAGAGCACGGTGGTGGCAGCAGTAAATTTATTAGGAGGCTGTGTTAAGCAGGGAAAACTTGGAGAAAATAAATGCAAAAAAGTATTTCTGCCACCAGATAAAAACTGCTGTTCATATTCTCCTTCTTTTCACAAACGTTTCATCATCTTGATGTGCTAAAGGTGGAACCAAAACCTTAAAGGATTCGCAGCAGTGAGTCTGTTCCTATATAGTATAGACTCAGGAGTACTAAACATAGAAAAACACCAGTTTATTTAGATTTTTTTATACCCAAAAACTGAAAAAAAGGTATGCTTTCCTTTATTTCCCAAATTTGGAAGTTGTTTGTTCGCCTAATAGGGTTGTCAAAATAATAGATTTTAAACTCAATATAAATTCTCAGCATTGTATTTTATTAATTATACCATTTTTGATACCATGGGGATTAAAAAACAATATGAATAAGGGCATAAAAACGTCTTTTATTAACATGAAATTGACCATTTTTAACCTCATTGTGAACCATGCTTTCTCAACAGAAGCACAGATGTTATTTAAAAAGTGGTTCAAATAATGCAAAATAAAAAAAGTGAAATATGATATAATTGAACATATTTTAAGGGTGTTTAAGGTATTATTCCTCTAATGTACAAGATAATCCCGAAATCTAAAATTAACAATAGCAAAAATATGCAAACACTTGTCTTGTAACGATTATTTTGCAAATCGATGAATCTGACGATTGTTTTTTATCCGATTAATAATGAGATAGCCAAATATTCTTTAAAGAAGACTTTTTATGAAATGAAACCAGGTGAAACTGGATAGAGCATATTGACAGACAAATTATTTTTATGTCTTAAATGCAAAATGTTACGTTATGTTTTTTTACAACATTGGTACAATTACCACTCAAAATGAGTTGCTGTCAGCTAAATGCATGTTTTAGAGTCTCTTTACTCCTTATTAAAGATTAATCAATTACTAAATCAGTTGACAATTTTTTCAATAATTGATTATTACGATTAATCAAATTATTTGTTTTATCCCCAGTCTTTAGTATCAATACCATGCTAAACTAGTATTGTATCCGGATACATTGAGTATCGATATTTCTCAGACTGGATATTTTTTGAAAAATCTTGTCCATTTCATTTACGTTTATGGTTTTAAAATGGAATAGTTTCCCACCTGCCTGTGTGTTTCCTGCTGCTCCTCCACATGCTGAGTTCATCATACAGAATGCTTAAGTAATTAGAAACATCTGCAGATAAATGATTTGGAGTCAGTGGGCTGTTTAACTGTCACTTTTCTTTAGCCTCTGTCCTTCCTGCTGTGTAGGCTGGGTTAGAGTCCTGGCTGAAAGCACTATAACACAGCGTGAAGTGGTCTTGTCTCTGTGCCAGGATTTATGGCTGCTGGTCCATCAGCGCTGATGTTAAAAGGGCTGTGATTAAGAGCCAGAGTGAAGACATGGACTTCAGTGCCCCTCTGACCCAGCCAGGAGCACACAAGGCCGAGCTCTGTCACTGCCAGCTCTATCCTCCTCCTCCTCTTTGTCCGTCTATCTTCTTCTGTCTTCTTCCACATGCATGTGTATGAGCTGAATTCTACCAAGGACGTTACATATCTGCATTTGATCTTTGCTCAACAGGTACAACAAGAAGGCAGGAAGAAGGGTGCCTGCCTCACTGACAAAACTTCAAAAGCTTGGAAATGCATTTCGTTTTTCTATTTGCCGTCCTTTAAAATCTTTCTTTCTTTTGTTCTCCGAGGTTCAGAGCACGCTGCCACAGCAGCGCTTCCCGCTGCGTTCTCGGACCTGCTGCCTCACTTCCTGGTGGAGCCTGAGGACGAGTACATCGTGAAGAACAAGCCCGTGACTCTGACCTGCCGCTCGACTCCGGCCACACAGATCTACTTCAAATGCAACAGCGAGTGGGTTAATCAGAACGACCACGTGATTGAGCGAACTGTCGACCCGGCCACAGGTACTTAGAGCTCCCCGCTTCCTACATAATGGTCTCTTCCTGCTTCATTTTAAAACACTATTAACATTTTTCCTCTAAAGATAGATGCGTTTTCAGCTTTTTTTTCTTCCAGTCGTCATCTACAGACCAACATCACTTGGAGACATTATGTAGTGTTTGTGTGCTGAAACTAAGGTCTGCAAATTGCAGACGATTACTGTGCCCCATCAGAGTCCTGGCTCATTCTCTCAGCCATTCTCATAATAAGCACATTGGTTTCATTCTCAGAAATCTCCTCGATCACCTTGGAGACCTGTTTGTTTTTCCCTTTGTTGTGCTGCAAACCCCCCCACCCCCTCACCACTAGTGTCATAAACACGTATGACACTGATGTGCTGAGATGTGGTGAGATTCGGAAGAGATCCGCAAATTTAAACCGCCCCTTCGCCGCCTAGAAACAGGGAGATGACAGACCGCGGGCTATCGCATAAATCCACACAGAACAGGGGATATACTGATGCCCATAAAGTTGGAGGAGAATATTTTTTGCCACTTTGCATGAAATGACTTTGACAATGAGGTTTGCTGTTGACAGATAAGGTTCATGTCTTCCTATATCTACTATCCAAAATAATCCAGTTCATGGACCTCAATCTAAATAGGACTTAAAAACAAGTAAAGTTTGAAAATATAAAATATTTTTAAAAATTGTTTGGAAGAAATAAAATAAAATAAAAAATTATATTTATACAATTATATATAAAATATCATTAGAAAAACTAAGATCTAATGAAAAAACAAAGTTACTTTTACAACCTTTTTTGATTATGAGATTTTAAAGTTTCCTTTCTGGATTGCTTTACTTAATCTCACCAAATTCACTCCGTTTTTTTGCTTTTACTCTCTTCCTGTTCCCCAATTAAAGATGAAACCATTGATTCTGAAAAAAAAAATAATAGCAATAAAGTAATAGCAGCAGCTATGCATGCGACTTCGCTTGCAGGCCAGGTTATAGATTGTAACTTCCCCAATGGATGGGCTGAAGTCAGGTAAAACAGCGTAGATTCACTGTAAAAAGACCTTCAATGAATTCATTGTACTGCAGCACTTAATCTTAAACAATTTAAGTACATTTATACAGAAGTGAGAAAAAAATATTGTTTTAGCAAAAGCACCGGTGGCATTAGAGGGACTCCTGCTGTGAATGCTTTCATACCCTGAGGCAAAAAGACAGCTCTTAGTTTTCCTTTATTACATTTATACAAGCTGAGAACATACATCCTACTATCCCTAGATTCCATTTTACATGCA